CGGTACCATGGCACAAGGACGAGTTGTAGACATCAGGAGCAGGGTGGCTGTGTTTGACCCGAAGAAGTTGCATTCGTATGTGGAGGATAACGAAGCCGAAAGGTGGATATTGGCGGGCTTTACCCCGTTGGGTGTGGAAACAATACCGTCGCACCCTGCAGCCTTCCTGAACAGATGTGGTTTTCCCTTGGAGAACACAGGTGTTAGTGTTCATGATGTTGTGGACGAGGAGCTGGAATATGGACATCAAAGTGATGACAGCGATGACAGCGATGAGGCACAGGAAGAGGAAGAAGTTGAGCAACAAGCACGGGTTCTTCGGTGTGAGTTGGAGGAGGAGGACTCAAGTGCTGAACTGTTCACCGAGAGGACTTATCTGGCGAGGGTACAGGAGGCATTCGAGAAGTGTGCCACGGACCTCGGTCGGCTTCAAGAAAAGCAGATGAGGCAAGTCCTAAAGGTTTCCCCGGGCGAGGCCAAGGATATCGAGGTCGAAGAGCTGTTGAAATCACTATGTGGCCCGTTGGAAGTTGTACACAATGTCAGTCTACCGGAGGTGAAGAAGTACATCACTCTATGGAAGGATGCTATCCACAAGGAGGTGAAGGCCTTGGTGGATTCGGGTACGGTGACGCGCTTGAGCCCTGAGCAGACGCGGGAGCTTAAAAAGGACGGGCTGGTCGTGCTTCCAGGCAAGGCGGTCTTTACAGTTAAGCCACCTCTAGATGCAGAGGGGGCGGTGGGATTTCGTCGCAAATGTAGAGTGGTGGTATGCGGGAACTTTATCCCGTCGCAAGGGCAGAACGTCTACGCGTCAGGCACCTCGGCTGACACACTACGCATAGCAGTTGCGCTGGCAGTGAAGATGGGATGGTCCATAGCAAGCACGGATGTGGCCAACGCATTTACATTAGCACCAATGCCAAAGGACCTCAAGTATGCCCTGACGCCACCTACAATAGTGGTCTTAGCAGGAGCAGCGTCCCCAGGCGAGACGTGGCAGATCACAAGGGTACTATATGGGCTCAGAGAAGCTCCTCGACTATGGGGTGACTTTAGGAATGAGAGAATGATGAAGGCCGAGATTGAGTATGATGGCGGCAAGATCGTTTTGGCACCCACCACCACCGATGAGAACCTTTGGAAGATCACTTACCAAGGCCAAACAACCCTTCAGGGATTGCTGCTGGCTTACGTTGATGATTTCTTGATCATGGCAAAGAAAGGAGTCGTGGATGCGATCTACAATTGGTTGGTTTCGGATTGGAAGTGTACAAGCCTAGAATGGATCGAGGGTGGATCGCTTCGATTTCTGGGGGTGGAACTTAGAGTTTGTGGTGGTGGAGTTCACATGTCTCAATCAGGTTACATACGTGATCTACTACGACAGCATGGGATGGAAGAAGACACCACTAGTGGGCTGACGGTGCCATGTGGTCGGGAATGGTTACAAGATGCGGACTCCGATGACGAGGTTGAGACACCCGAAGAAGCAACGATCAAGTTGGCGCAGAAGGCTACGGGAGAAGCGCTGTGGCTGTCTACGAGGAGTCGTCCAGAATTGGCTCATGCAGTGGGGTGTATGGCTTCGTATGCACTGAAGAGACCGTTGAGGACGCTAGAGATAAGCAAGCGCATCATGAAGTACCTCTCCCGAACGGTTGAATACGGTGTCTTGTACCAAGAAGTGGAAGACGAGCCCTTGATGGTGGTGTATTCGGACGCAAGCTATGCTCCAGGTGGTGGTCGTTCATTTGGGTCAACTTTGGCACAGGTGGCCGGAATGCCAGTGGCATGGAGAGCATCCAAGCAACCGGTGATAACGCTTTCAGTGGCAGAAGCAGAGCTGTATGAAGGATGTTCAGCAGTGCAATTGGGACTCGGGGTGATGGCTATGCTAACGGAGCTTGGCTTTGACTCGGTGATGCACTTACGAATCGACAATGCAGCGGCGCAAGGCCTGGCAAGCGAGTCGCCAGGAACTTGGAAGACACGCCATTTGAGGATCCGGGCAAGATTCCTACGACAGGAGGTTGCGGCACAACGCCTGGTTATCTCTCACGTTTGTGGGAGCATGCAAAAAGCAGACCTTGGCACGAAGGGGTTCGATTTGCCCAAGTTCAAGGCGTTGTTAGATCTGTGGCAGATAGTCCCTTGTGTTGCTAGAGAGGCTGCTAATGCTGCTATGAGGACGTTGAGGGCAACAAATGGACGAGGCGCTCTGATGTTCGTAGTAATGTGCCTATGCCTTATCAAGGGTGCTCAAGCGAAGGATGATTTGCCTTTAGATGGGTCAATGGAGTTCTACTTTGCGGCGGTGATCTCGGTGATTGCGGCGGTAGGGGTTTGGGAATTCCTGAAGCGGGGATTCAATAAGCTCTGGTTTTGGTGGAATGCAAGGCAAAGACGACTGCAAAGGACTGAGCGTTTGAGAATGAGAACTCGTGATGCAGTACACGATGAGCTAAGACGACGTGAGATTGAGCTCACTACAATGCCCAGCACACCGCCAAACGCTACCTCAAGGAGCTCCAGGCGATCTATCAGTACCGCGTCAAGGACGCCCCAGAGATCATGGATGACAAGTTGTGATGTGGCTGTGCAGACGGATCCTCAGCCTGCGATGATTCCAGCGGACAGGCTGGCTCCGTACACAGGGCCGTTTTACATGACTTCCCATGGAGAGAAGATTCACATGACGACATTCTGTCATGGGCAGAGGAACGCAACAAGGCCTTCGAAGAGATATGACCTCTGCGATTACTGTGACAGGGCTCGTGGATTATATGTACTTGTTCCGCCTACTGGATGAGCAAATGAAAGCATCCTACAAAGAGCTCCTCTAGGCCTTGTAAGGGTCAAGAGGAGTGGAGGGGTGCTGAAGTTAGCTTTCAGTTGCTGTGGCGGTGACTGACAGGCACACACAAGCTGCGTATGCACAGAGGCCGACAGCTACGAATGTGTGACCATCTGGCTCAAGGAAAACAGAAGTTCAAGTGGGCACGGAAGTGCCATTCAATTCGGGTTTGTTTGAAGGGTATCATGGGATCCAACGCGAATCTTGATACCGGACAAGATACATTCTGTGACTTGCCTGCTGGATATCAGCAGGTTTAGGGTTCAGGGTTTTGGGGTTTAGGGTTTAGGGTTTAGTTGGAGAGGTTAGGGTTTAGCTTGGAGAGGTTGCATACTAGAGTGACTTTTCGAGGGTTCGGTGTGCGGTTTCTGTGGTGTGCTGCATTGGTGCGGGGTCGGGCTTGGTGCGGTACTGGATGTTAGCTGGTGTATGATGGCTTGTGGCTGTAGTGCTTGGTTTTTGTGGCTCTGAGCCCGATGCCTTGCACGCTTCCTCCTCCTGCTAGGAGTTCCGGAGGCGGATAGCTGAGGGAAAAGAAGGTTCAAAAAACACGGAGCATCTAGAAAACATGCAAAACCGAATAAGCCTATGATTCCTGATTACATTCCTCATAGAATCCCTACGAATTACAAATCCCGTACAGCCTATAATTCCTCCGCTGTAATCCCTATAGACAATCTCCGAAAGACCCTTGAGAGCTAGAGCTATACTACAAGCAGACTTTCGAAACCCATGCTCGAAATCCCTGAACCCTAAACTTAAAACCCTAACCCGAAACCCATTAAACCCTAAACCCTAAACCCTAAACCCTAAACCCTAAACCCTAGCGCTTTGCAAGTCCAATGGCGAGGCAAGAGGCTTCCCGAGCCGCTCAGGAGATCTTTGCTGACGGCTGCGGTGGGGGTCCTGTGGGCTCGGGATTTAGGGTTTTAGGGTTTAGGGTTTTAGGGTCTTAGGGTTTTAGGGTTTAGGTAGTTTGGGGTTTTGGGGTTTAGGGTTCAAAGGTTTGCGGTTTCGGGTTTTAGGATTTAGGGTGCGTGGTTTTCGCGTGAAGGGTTTAGGCTTTTGTAGAGTTCAGGGACACGCTGCTTTTTGGTGTTGTGGCGACTTTGGGTTGAGGTTCGCAGATTTCGTGCAATTTTGAAATTTAGAATTTAAAGGTTTAAGCGTGTAGGGCCTAGGGTTTAGGGTTTAGTTATGGAAATTATACCTCAGGGTTTAGAGCAGACTTTTCACGTTGCACAGGTATTGTCAAATCCTGCAGCGTCGCAGACAGCCCTTTTAGCAATCTGACTGAGCACTCAGCCATGCAAGCCCTGACGTGCAGTCAGGCCCCCCCCTCCTAAACCCTAAACCCCAAACCCCAAACCCAAAATCTTAAACCATAAGAGACACAGTCAGTGGCTGCGCCTCCAAACTTGGCTTCGGTGCAGCGACAGAATCGGCTTGCCTTGTAGACCTTAGACTGCCTTTGGACCTTGACCCCTTACCTGAGCGGCCTTAACCGGACCCTCCCCCCCAAAGTAATGTAGACGCCTTAGTAATAAGAGCAAGGTTCTGGGTTTTTTATACTACTTAGGAGCCCAGTAGGTAAACTTTAAACTTTTTGGTACATTAAAGCCCCTACACTAAAAGAAAAGTTTAAACTTTTTTGGGCCAGGGTACTGGGCTTCAAGGACTATACTCATAATAAGGAACCCCCAAAATAGTATGGGTACAGTAATTATTTCGGCTGCTATAGGAACAGGCTTCGTTCCGGTTTTAAGGTTTAAGCTTATCGGAATATATATGGCTTGCATTGGTGACAGTCCAATGCTAGGTCGTTTTGGCTTGATACTCCCAGGCTCCAGCCGCCAGCCTCTCCTTACATAAGCACTCCCTCTTTCTCGACATCACAATCCAGTCTCTGTGACGTATTAAACCCTAAATCCCAAGCCCTAAACCCTGAACCCTGAAACCGTAAGCCCTAGGCCCTAAGCCTTAAACCCTAAACCCAAAAGCTTCTCGCAGGCCCACGCTGTCAGCACCTGAAAGCCCGAATCTTGAGATGAGCTGTCCTGCTGAAAACTTTACTTACAACGACCCCTTGCTAGGTGCCCCGATCCTTAGGCTAATAAACCTCATGTGCCCTTCCTCGACCGAGATGCTGGTCGCTATGCCCGGAGTCGCCAAAACCGCTCCAGGCGCTTGAGGGGCTCTCGGCTCAGTGGTTTGGAGGCTTCAGAATAGCCCAAAACCCTAAACCTCCTATCCCCTGGAGCCCCCACGGTCCTTATGTAATTATACTATGCCATACCTCTTGGCCCCCTGCAGAGTGCTTCTAGACCCCGCCTGGAGTCCTTGTATAGTGATACTGTTATACTCGTACTATACGATGCCCCGATACCCTAGTGCAATTCTCCAGGTGAGAACCTACCTGCAGCCGAAAAGCTACTACCGTCTTAGGGTTCCTTATCGCTGCTTCTATATATATATATACACACTATATATATATATACACTATACATATATATATATATATATACACACACACACACATCTAACTCCTTAAAAACAGTAGGGTTTTTGGGCCACCGGGAGGGTTCGTGTCAGGGCCTTCGTGCTTCTCGGTGGCTTTCCCGTGTTGCTTACCGGATGCGTCCGGCGATCCAGGGCTGTACTTCCTAAGCACGAGCCACTTCCTCCACTACTGGGCAGGTAGTTCTCTAAATCAGGGTCCTTTATAGGTCCTCAATATAGTACGGCACCCTTATAAAAGGACCCTAAAAGGGACCCTAGTTTAGAGAAGTACCCTAATATGAGCAGTACCAGTCCTCATTCAGGTGCCTTATTTTATAAAGTATAGTGTCACAGAAGTTGTTCTAACTATAGGAACCCTTTGAAGAAACTGACCCTACACCCTATCCCCAAGCCATTATATGCATAAAAAATACAGCAGAGGCCTTGAACTCAAAGTTTGGAAACCACGCCAGACCTTCGTGGCCGCTTTGCTGTCGTGACCGGGGCGGGCAGAGGCATCGGAAAAGGCGACACTGCAATTGAAGTTAGGTGTTTAGGGGTTACTTAGGGTTTAGGGTTTAGGGGTTAATGTAGGAGCCTGAATAATTAGCAGTATTTACTATACTACAAAGGAGCCCAAAACCCTGTTCTAATTATTCAGGTACATGAGGTAGGTGTTGAAGGTTTCGGGCTTAGGACTCAGGATTTGGAGGCTGAAGTGGTCTGGGTTTACAGAGGACCCGCTGAGACTGCACTTGCAGCATCACGAGTTACGCATAAAGATTCAACTAAACCCTAAACCCTAAACCCTAAACCCTAAACCCTAAACCCTAAACCCTAAACCCTAAACCCTTAACCTTGAACTTCACATCCGAAAAAGTCGAACCCGGAAAGCGCTTGACCCTGAAGCCCTGCAGCTGGGTTTGCAGTTTAGGGTCTAGGTAGTCCTGCGGTTTTCAGTGCCCTAATTGCGGTTAACTTCTACCTGCAGCCACCTACGAAGAATAGGCCATCTAGTTGAGGGTTTGAGGGTTTTGGTCAAAAGTTGGGGCTTGGGGTTTAGGTTTCAGCTTCAGGGTTTGGGGCTTAGGGTTTGTGAAGGTTCGGGATTCATGGTTTGAGCTTGAGGCCTCAGGGGGGAAGGGCCATTCGGGAAATTGTGTCGAGTCAAGGTTTCCCTGAGGGTTTAGGGTTTAGGGTTTAGGGTTTAGGGTTTAGGGTTTAGGGTTTAGGGTTTAGGGTTTAGGGAGTGTTTCGAGATACCCCTCTTAATGATTTAGACTGCTTGTATCCCACCCAAGCTTTGTTTTCGGAGATTGTTCTACGCTGGAGTGGTTCGATGCCAGCAAGAGTCGTTTCCACTAAGACGAACTCCCACTTGATGTCACTTCATGTCTGCGAGCTGCCGTGTGCGATTTACATAGATTTGTGGCTTCTGCCTAGGCCCTCTATCTACCCTCTCTCAGGCCCTACATACCCATTATTCCCCCTGTTTGAGGGTACAAGGAGGGTCCTGGTGGTTTGGGGATATTGGTGTTCGTCAAGCTTGGGGTCCGGACAGGGGTCTACAAGTCCAGATATTTCGAGCTGCACTACTATGGTGGAACCAGGAACCGGTTATAAAGCTTGGCCTCTTGCTGTTTACAGCACAACAAAAGGTACCCGTTGATCGTAAAGACAGTTATTCTATGGCAGGCTCTTCTCAAGCCACGAAGCAGGACTTTGTCCCTTGTCCCCATTAATGGACTCGAAACTCTACATGCGCTACCTAAGAAGCTTGAATAATTACCTACAGTATACCTCAGGGTTGATTACTAGAAGTACGCTACAAAGGAGCCGAAGAAACCCTATTACACAAATTAAGGCCCCTACAACCCTAAACCCTAAACCCTAAACCCTAAACCCTAAACCCTTAGGATTTAGGGTTTAGGGTTTAGGGTTACATTAAAGCCATTCCTTTTCCGGAGGAGTGGCAGTTGGACTGGGAGAACTGGGTGCCATGGTTTTCGTTACCGGCCGGAAGAGGCTTCCTTTGTGGTTATAAGTTATAAGGGAGTTTTAGCGCTTTAGGGCTTGAGGGGTTTAGGGTTTAGGGCTTTAGGGCTTGAGGGTTTAGGGCTCTAGTGGTTTAGGGTTTAGGGCCTGAGAGGCTTTAGGGGTTAGGTCTGGGGCTTAAGATAAGGGACTCTTTGGATTTAGTCTTCAGGGCCCACACTAACACTTCCTAAGGGAACGCTATGTAAGGAACTCGTGCTGAGGAGCCCCAAATGCAAGTGGTGCTAGGTTTCGCAAGGCCCTCTCCAAGGCTTTTGCCGACTGAAACTAGGACATTTTCAGGTGGGTAGTTACCGTTACAGGAGCCTTATAGAAGCTCTATATACCTTATAGAATCCTTGTGGCAGCCCTGTATACCCTGAACTCCCCACCTGTAGTTTCCTTTAACCCTAAACCCCAAAACCCGAAACCCTGAACCCTAAACCCCTAAACCCCTAAACCCTAAAGGATCCCTTAAAGGCACCCTAGACTCCCCACCTGTACTTTCCTCTAACTGAACTCCAAACTTCGCGTTTCCCACGGCTTTTTTACCGATGGAAGCTCCAAACTAAGCGGCGGCTTAGGGTTTAGGGTTTAGGGTTTGGGGTTTAGGGGTTAGGGTTTAGGGCCTCTTGGTTCTACAAAAATCAAGGGTTCGAGATTGGCTCTCTAGTGGGAGTGAGGGTTTGTTTTGGTTGTTTCGGAGTTTCGGATATACCTATCTGGGTTTAGAGGTACTTCTGTTTTGCTCCTTGCTGTGGGTGAAGTGGGGCCGCCCGCAAGGGCCCTAATATCCAGACCCTCAACCCTAAACCCGAATCCTAAACCCTAAACCTTCAACCCTAAAAACCATTGGCTGAGCACTACTCACCCCTATGCAGCCCTAAACCCTAAACCCAAAACCCTAAACCCTTCTGCAGCCCTCTAGCGCTGTCAACAGAGACCCTATGAAGGCCCTTTGAAACGCCAGTGCTTCCAGGCCGGCGCTGGAGGCCACCTGCGAACTCGTGCGGCGAGCCGGTGGTGCAGGCCGTCTGTGCATTCATTTGGAGTGTTGACATTTGGGAGTTTCCGAAAATAGGGGGTACCATATTTTGGGGTCCTTATAATAAGGATCCTAGTATTTAGGGTACTATATTAGGGTCCCCTATTTTCGGAAACCCCCATTTGTGTTTGCTTTATTGCTTTTGCCACTATTACTGCTGTTATTATAGGTGCTACTCCGTTATTGTTGCTACTGGTGTGTATATGCTTGCGCAGTTATTGTGGCTAGTGGTATTGTTATTATGATTGTTATTGGTGAGCCACTGTTGTTGTTATTCGTGTTACCGTTGTTATTGTTATTATTGTTACTGTTGTCATCGTTGTTGTTCTTTCCATTCTTGTTATTGAGGTTTTGATTGTTGTGTATACATAAGATTGTTAGTATTGTGTTGCCAATTTTCTTATTACTACTATCACTGTGTACCATTCCTGCAGGTAGAACCAGTACTGCCAGTAATCCTAGAAGTACAGTTCCTCAGGGCAACTACAACCCGAACTAAATCTTCGGACTACTTTAGGGGCCTCAATAATCTGAACAGGGTTTTGGGGGTTCCTCATTATAACCACACTAAAGAAGAGCCCCAAACCTTATTCTAATTATCAAGGCCCCTACAGTAGCTTGACGAAGCACCTCTAGCCTCCAAGTAGGTGTTGTTTCTGCAGTTGCTTGCGGATGCACCTCCTGGGTTTAGGGTTTAGGGTTAAGGGGCTTCAGTGTTTGAGGTGCAGCTGCAGACATGGATCCAAACCTGCCTAAACTCTGAACCCTGAAGCCTATAAAGCCCAACTCGTTCAACCCACATCCTAACCTCGGAATCCAACCCCAACAGGCTTTGCCGCCACAGGCGGTAGCTGGAAGTATTGCGAAGCTAAAGCCCGAAGCCCGAAGCCCTAAATCCTACAGTAAATCCAAGAAGAGCGAAACCATAGAACCGGTTTAGGGTTTAGGGTTTACGGTTTGCCCTGACGCCCGAAAGCCCTAAAGCCGTAGACCGTTCATCGCAGGTGTGCCGGTGCTTTGTGACCATAGCCTTAGCCTCGGAGCCGTCCTTCAGTCTCAACAGACTACGGCTTCAGAAGGGTTTTACTGTTTGAGTGGGTTTCCACAAGGGTTCCAGAAGAGTGTGAAAGTTTAAAGTTTAGGGTTAAGTTATAAAGGGTTCCGTGAGGGTTTCATACTGTTGGGGTTTTAGCTTTGTTGTTCAAATTTGAGGCCTCTCGAGGTTTGCTGAGATTCCTCGGAGATCTCTGAAGATTGGACTTCGGGGGATTTCTTTGGTGGCTTCGCTTCGGGGCATAGAGAATAACCTGGAGGACTTCAGTGTACGGTTGCATCGGGTTCGTGTGGGGTTCCGATCAGATTTGTTCAAGCAGTAGTCAGATCGATAGGCGCTCAGGTTTGGTCGACATAGCTGAGCTCTTGTGCCCGCTTTCATGCGGCCTGAAAGTAAGGATTCTGGTTTGTCTATAGGATTCTGATTCTGTCTAGACGGTATCCTATTTAGCGGATACTTACCGCGCAAGGCTGCACAGGAGAAGGCTCGCAAAGCACACTGCAAACAGAAACAGAGAGAGTAACTACATATGAGTGCAGGCGAGTACCATGTTTGAGACCGCGAGTTCACACACAGAGGCAGTGTAGGTGGACAAAATATGCAGCATTATGCATTGATGAGAGACCTGAGTGCATACAGGAAGCTGTGCAGTGATTCCATTTGAGACATTATAGGCATGGGTAGCACGGAGCAGACAGAGCCAGCAGAACCACTCCCCAAGCCTCGGGTTTAGATTTTAGGGCTTTCCGGTTCGGAACGGTTCGAGGCAGGGTGCAGGGCTAGCGCTGTCTCGCTGCTTCGCCGGCTTCCATGCAGCAGCGAAGTCCCAACAAAATGTCCAAAGCAGTAAGAGCTCACCGTGTAATTCTAGGGTTAGGAATAAGTTGCACATCGCCGGGTCTCCTGCATGACCCTAAACCCTAAACCCTAAACCCTAACCCTAAACCCTAAACCCTAAACCCTAAACCCCTCCGTCTGTAAACCCTTACATCCCCCTACTACTGTAAGCAAGCGCCCCGCGACGCTGTGCTCTCAGGTGACGATGCCCAGGTGCGATGTTCTGGAGGGGGTTCCTGCTGTGAACCCAGAACCCCAGAGTTTCCGGCGTAATATAGAAGCCTAAATCGTACTTTAGGGTTCCTTATAATACTAATCACAGTATAATATACCCCTCCACCCTACAAGTATTCTAATTGCTCAGGCCCCTATATTACGGCTTGGTGTCGTAGGACTTTATTGCTTGAAGCTGCGACGATACCCCGCATCGAAGCTTGATCCCTGTCGTCCCTACATAAGAAATGACCCTAAACCCTAAACGCTAAACCCTAAACCTTTGCCCGGAACCCTGAAACCTAGGCCCCAAAGAATCTAAGCCCTCAGCCCTAAGCCTAAAACCCTATAAGCCTTAAACCCAAAGCGCTAACCCTTAAGTTCTACTGCCCCCATCGTTTCCGTAAAGAGACCCTTAAAGACACCCTAAACTGTCGATCCCGAAGTCACCGGGTCCCAGGTAGTCTTAGGGAGACCCCTTAAAGGGGACTTTTCTGAACCCTGCTTATGGCTCTCTTTTGAGAGGATCTATATCTTTAAGGGTCCCTCTAACCCTAACTCCTACCGGAGGTCGCAAGAGCTTTCGAGGAGATCGGAAAGGCTACTGGGGGTCGATTGGACATCTTGGCGCGGGGGCTCAGTGCTCTGTGCTTGCGGGCTTAAGTTTGGGGTTTCGGGTTTATGTATGGTTTGGGGGTTTAGGGTTTAGAGTTTAGGGTTTTCGGGTTTATGTATGGTTTGAGGGTTTAGGGTTTAGGATGTAAGGGTTTAGGGCCTAGGGCTTGGAATTTATGATTTTAGGGCTCAGTGGGGTTCTGTACAGGGTTTGTTCGAAGGTCAATCGTAAGGTTTTCAGGTTTCGGGTTTGAGGCTTTCTCATGGGTTTCATCAGGACTCTACAATCTTTCTGTCGAAGGCTTTAGTCGTTAGATCTTCAGGCTGAGGGTCCAGATAATGTAGAAGCTTAAATAATTGCCAATACTATAGGTTTCCTTAGTATAAGTATAGTATAATCTACCCCAAAACCCTATTCTACTTATTAAGACCCTTATCTTACCGAAACCTTAATGTACAAAGCCGAAAGCCTGGGACTCCGACATTTCTGCGGATGCTCTGAAGCCTTCACCCTGGGCCCTAAACCACACCGGGGTTTAGGGTTCAGGGTTTACGGCACCAGCCCTAACCCAAACTTCGCCGAAGCCAGTTTTTGCAGAATCCTCATATAGCCCTTACAGAACTCTCCTAAACCCTAAACCCTAAACCCTAAACCTGTTGGAACCCTTAAAGAGGCCTCACAGAATCCTTATAGCCCATCGAGGTGAACAACGCCTTCCAGGAGCCAGGATCGTCCCCCGAGGCGGTCTTCTTGCAGAAGAGTCGGTCGGCGTGAGTTTTTTGTTGGGCGGGGAGTGGCGTTCAGGAGCTGGCCTTGAAGGTTTAGGCTCCAGCTTGACAGTTGTTAGGGTTTAGGGTAGTTGTGAAGCGTTCCGGTACCTGCAAAGAGTGTCAGGTTGTGAGGGTCTGAGACCAAGCTGGCGATGCGGGGTTCCAAGTGGTGTCTTTCTTCCCTTCACGATCGCGTGAAAGCGCCGAACTCGCAGCCCAGCCCTGAAGACCGTGAAGCCCGAAGCCTGTTTGGGTTTAGGGTTTAGGGTTTAGGGTTTAGGGTTTATTGTCTGGAAGCAGTCCTGGCCTTTCAAGACGAGAATTGCTCATTTGGTGTTTACGTTTTTTGTTGCATGTTTGTTCTTGGCGCAACTTCCCAGCCCGGGCCAGGCCCTCTCTTGCAACCGGTAGGTAAGCCGTAATGCCCTAGACTCCTGCCTCTTTCTTGGCCCAAGAAATAACATCTGGGGTTTCCGGGACAAGCCTTCAGTTCACTGACATTGAATGTAGGTTCCCTTACCTGGGTCCTTGTTGGCTACAATTCTGCGTCTTGTTCTAGTAAAACCAAATAAGGATTACTTGAACCTGACGGTTTTTAATACAGCCCCAACAGGGAACCAGTTACGATGGTAGCTTGACATGAAGTTTCTTGACAGGTGGAGAAGAAGCTTTCAGAAGCCGCAAAATTCTACGAGCTCCCTATCTCTGCTCCTCGGACCACCTCGGCGTTTCGGGGCTTCAGGAGGTTTAGGGTTTAGGGTTTAGTAATTCGAGGACTCCAGCAAAGAAGGCTCATGGGCTTTTCGGGTCTAACTAATGCTACGGGTTTAAAGGTGAGGAAGGAGTTTTGGAGGCCGTAAGAGGTGAGGGTGCAAGGTTTGATGGGATCGTGCCAAGCTTAGAAGCACGACAATATACCACAGTGGTGAAATCACAGCAACTGGCTCAGCTTGGCGTCTAAATTTTCGGCTTTCATGGTAAAGTATAGGTTCTGGGTGTTTGTTTTATTTGTTTGTTTGTTTGTGGCTTAGGGGTTGAGGGTCTTAGAGTTGCGGGCGCCAAAGTTTAGGATCTTTAGAGTCTTTCGACGGGCTCTTACTGAGGGCCTAACCGTGTTAATTTGTTCAGCTGTCAGCAAAGGGACACAGTTGTATATCTCCCTAGCCCCTGAGCCCTATCGTGCTGCAAGCTTTCTTTTGGCGCCACAGACCTTACTGATTTAAGCCGGGAGTTCGACAGTTCAATCTCATCACGCTTTACAGAGCAGCCTGTCGAACGTAAAGCATTCCAGATCCTTACCCCGACTCAAAGGTCGGGTTGGACAGAGCGACGCAATAATCATGGTCTACTTCGAAACCATGCCCGCCCTGAGTTGCTCCATCCACCTCGGTAGCGAGAGGCAGTAAGCGCCATGAGATGATCGAGCCCAGTTTGCTGACTTGACTAAAGGCTCGCCTAGAGGCTGTACCCTTAAACTTACTTAGCAGATTTTAACCCTAACCCTAAGGGTCCAAGTAGTCCTTATTTATGGTTTTAGGTACCCAAAAAGGCCCCCAAAGTCCTTAGATAATGGGTACTTGGACCCTTGGAGCAATGCTCAGGTCTGGGACGACATGCATCGCGTGGGGCTGCGCTCGCACTACGTGACACAGATGCAATTAGACTACACTTTAGGGATCCGGTCACATGACGGATATATTCGGCTCGGGGATATCATACATA